AACACAGAAAAACTATGCTTCACCCCAAAACCCCAAAACCCCAAGAGGCTGGATTGTATTCATATTGCTTTTAATTAAAGAAATTATTTAAATTGAATTGCATTATTCTATATTCAGATTCATATTAACTATATGTATAATCAAAATTATGAGAAGATTATGGTACTTCTCTATACATCTTTTCAAGAAACGATTATTTTAATGTTTCTTAGTTTATCAACGAAAGAAATCTTTTTATTATTCTATAATTCTGCCTCTACATCATTTTTACTAAGATCATTCTATTAGTTTAGTGTATTAGTAATGGCAGAGATGTTCTGAGTGCTCTTAATTGTTTAATTTGAAAAACTTGGAGCGTCATAATTTACTATCTAGTGACCCAAAAAATCAGTAGAATTTTCATATCTCTTTTAAGCTGAGTATTTGTTAAGTATAAATTCGAACATGCTATCTTTATGGATTACAGCATCCTTATTCTCAATAGATTGATTAGTTGGAAGATTAAGCCCTTTTAAGCCTTATTATTTTTGTATATTTGAATCTGTTGACTAATGTTTAAAGTCTATTGTTTTCAGGTTTGTTGAATCTGCTACTGTATGATGACGTAATTCAGGAAAGTAGTCTGAGCTATATACAGAGGTTGAATCTAACAGATTTTAATTCTTCTTTTTTTATAGTAGCCTTTAGGAAAGATTTGACTTCGTTGTTTTATCAAAGAAAGTTTCATCAATACTCCTCTTCTAGTCATTTTCAGAAGGTAGTAAATTAAGTTTTAGAGAGCTAGAATTTGTGTCAAATATCCCTTTATTTATATTACTTAGGCTCTCGTTAAATTTGCCTCTCTATTTTTATACCAATTACATTGATGATCTTTTCTCTCTAAGTCTGTTTTTAATAGTTAAGATTCTTTCTCCATTTGAAGTTTCAGTAGAAGTACTTCCTGTATATGGCTGAGCTTAATCGTATTAGAAGACGTCAGATAGTCTTCTTATTTGATTTTCGGATAGCTATTTTAATTAGATTGAAGACTGGTTTCTTGAGTGAGATCAAGAGCTTGTTTAAGTCTTTAATTATTTAGTTTACGTTGACCCTGGAACCATCAAGTAATCATAGTCCATATTTCTACTACCAAAGTACTGCAATTTAAGTGTATTCTTATTGTTATTTTGTCCATTTTTTTAAACTGCGAAAATCAAACTCGCATCTCTTCGTTTAGTTTTAACATCATCGAAGTTTCTTTGAATCTGATCGGTTTCTTCCTCTGAAATGAATACAAATTGAGGGATTTCGTCTAGAGCTTTGACATTTTTAGTCTCAGGCTACTATTGCTTATGATTATTAATTCCTGGAAGTTCTCTAAGCATTTTAGTGTATACGTATTTATTCAAGTTAGAAAATGTTTAAATAGATTATTTTTATTATATAATATCTTTTATTATACTTTTTGCACTTTATTTGTATAATTTCTTATTATAGTTTCAATTTATGATTGCGGGGTTTTGGGGTTTTGGGGTTTTGGGGTTTTGGGG